ATAAACATGGGTGTGCATATATCTCCTTGGATGTCAGTTATGGTCTCTTTGGGATATATTCCCAGTAGTGGAATTGCTGGGTCAAATGGTATCTCTATTTGCAACTTTTTGAGAAAGCGCCATACCGCCTTCCACAGTGGTGTTGCACCATTTTGCATTCCCACCAACAGTGAATAAGGGTTCCAGTTTCTCCACAACCTCGTCAGCATTTGCTGCTTGCTGTTCTGTTAAATTTTGCTATTCTGACTGGGGTGAGATGATATCTCATAGTTGTTTTTGGCTGCCGCTTTTGCAGTGATTGTGGATCCATGTAAAAAGCAAATAATTCTTAGCAACGTCAGTCTTCTCCATTTATCATGATGATGAACCTAAATGAAAGAATATTCTAAGAAATTACTGGCTAGTACTTTTAAGAAATGTCAAGGTCATAAAAAACAAGGCAGTGTTGAGAAACTCATAAATAGGAAGAGAGCAAGGAGACAGAATAACTGAAGGTGGTATGGGAGTCTGGATAAAAAGGTGTTAATGAAATAACTGGTGAAATTGTCATTAGGCCTGTAGCTTAGGTAATGATACTTGACTAATGTTAATTCTATTATTTTAATTATTATCATATGGTTATGTTAGATGTTAACATAAGGAGAAGGTAGGTGGTAGGCATAAAGGAACTCTAGGTGGAATCTCAGTAACTTTTTTATACATCTAAAAATAAAACTTTAAAGGAAACTAATGTCTAAAGAGGCCAGTGTTATATTTTATAATTACTTATAAAATGTTTATGGAATAAAAAGGCTGGTTTTCCTTAAAAAAAAGAAAACAAACTCACAACACTTTGGTGCTTGTTAATTTGTGATTTATTTAAAATGTATTTTAGTGTTGGTTACTTTGTCTAAGCTTTAATAAAAAGGTTCTGTAATCAAAGTTGACTAGGTATGAAACCACAAGTGATTCAGGAAATTAAACAGCTGAGCTTTATACAATTATTCTTATTATAGTGTTATATTTTCCAGCAGTATACTAGAGCTTATTAACTTTTTATTAGCTGAGATTGTCAGTTTTCTGCCTCCATGCTAAGTATGCATTATGATTTTAGTTAAACTTACGCTACTTAACAAAACAAGGATTTAGAAAAGGAAGCTGGTCAGTTGCAGGTTTCCTCAATGGCTATAGGGAAATTAGCAGCAATAAAATACTACCGTCCTAATCCATTGGTGACCTTCTCTGAGGTTTAGATGTTAGACACGATTCTAGTTATTTGCTAGATACAATTCAGTTCTTTTCATCAAACCAATCTATACTAATTTATTTTGTCTGTGTCTAACACAATAAATCCTATAGAAATTAAAAAAAAATGTAAGTAATAATCCCTGCCAATTAATCCTCACTTGTTGGTTGGTTGGTTTTTTTGTTTTTGGGTTTTTTGGGGGTTTTTTTGTTTGTTTGTTTTTTAAAGACATGCAGAAAGGAAAAAGTAGAGGCTGTAGTTAGGGTGAATGCTGGTATTGTATTCTCATTATCTTTTCCATTTTTAATAATCACCTCTGACTTTGATTGTTTATATTCTTTGAATATGTCTCTTGACCTGGAATGTAGCGTACCAAATTCTGTCTTCCAAGATTGTTATGACTCTTAATACTTGGCACATAGAAGACATTTCGTAAATATGGTGTTATCAATACAGCTAGCTAGCCTATTAGAAAATGTCATTAATCTTGATATTTTATTGGTAATACTCTGGTAGATACTTGACTCAGTCTTTCTGATTTTTCCCTTTCTAGAGATGATGAAGAGAAAAAAAAACCACCCTCAGAAAGTACCGATGAGAAAGCTAATGGAACACATCCGAAGACTATCAGTCGAATTGGGAGTACTACCAATCCATTCTTGGACATTCCTCATGATCCAAATGCTACTGTGTACAAAAGTGGGTTCTTGGCTCGGAAAATCCATGCAGATATGGATGGAAAGAAGAGTAAGGATCTTTTTGTAATTTTATACCTTATTTCATCTATACACACAAAATGTAAGGTTAATTTATCTGAAGCAAAGTGAAGTCTGAAGAAAAATGTTTAGCAAGACAAATATTCTAAAATTTGGCTAGCTTTTAATTCAAAATCCGTTGTAGCTCTTGATCTTCCTCAAGTATGGTTACAGAACTTTGGAAAGGAAGACATTCAAAAATTACTGAGTCCCTACCCTTTTATTAATTAATCATTCCTTCAGAAGTAATATGGAATGTCTAGTATGTACTGTGAACAAATATAGTGAATACGATGGTGGCGATTCCTATCTCCTGTGCAAACTAGGGTTTACAGAGATAGTGGTTGGTGTGAAAAATAGAAAATAATAAATAGTATCCTATCCCAGAGACACTGTGGATGGGGAAAGATTGAGATCCAAAATGCATATGAAAGGACTGATCTTTGGAAAGAAAAATAACAGATAAAATCTAAGAGAAAATGGTATTATTAGTATTAGCAAATTGAAGGAATCTCATCTGATAACTTCAGTTTCTCTGCAGTATGAGATGTAATTATCTGTGGGAGTAAGTTATATTTGACCTTAAAAAAGAGTGAAGTGTATGAATCTTTGCAGAGAATTAATTAATAATTTCATGTAGTAAGCAGTCTAAATAAAACAACAGTGATACATGCTCAGAATTAGTAGACTATATGTCTAGAGTGTCTCCATCTACCTGCAGACACACTGTGGTGTGATGAAAAATATCACAATTTCAATCACTGGACACATTTTTTAGTGGATTACTATATTATATCTCAGTCCAGAGACATTGCAGTGAAGTGACGTTGGCCCTTGTGACTGGGAGCACATCTTACTGTTTCTAAGTTTTGGGGGATGGGATCGCCATTTTTCCTGTGTAACTTGTCCACTAGCCTGCTTATACATGAGATTTTCTCAGATGGCAGTGTGTTGGGACTCTTATGGTTGCAAATAATAGCAAGTCAAACTAGCTTGGAGGAAAAGAAGGCATACCTGAAGATGAAGGATTTATGACCATCAGAACACTCTCTTCATTGTCTTGACATTATTTTGCACATAGGCATCTTTTTCATCGCCAGACCCACATTTAGTAGCAGAACACTAGTGTGTTCAATTTTGCCTAGACAGGCTATTTCTTCTCCCCTAACATTAGTATATCCTAGTGCAGAACTCTCATTTGGATGACTATCAACAGAATCCCGTGATTGACAGAACCAACATGGTTGGAAAATGGCTAAGTGTCCCTAAAGAAGAAACAAGTTCTCAGAGTGACTCTGAACAGTTAACAATAATTAGCTTTTTTTGTTGTTCTTTGTGGAACACACACACACACTCACTCTCTCTCTTTTTCTCTGTACATTCAGTTTAAAAAATGTTTTTACTGAACATAATAAAATTTTGCATAGTGGTAAGGAGTTGGGCCACCAACCTAAAGTCACGTAGTTTGAATCCATGAGCTGCTCCATGGGAGAAAGATGGGCAGTCTCTTTCTGTGTGTTTGACTGCCTCTGAAAACCTGCTGAAGGGTCAGCTAATGCATTGCTTCCAACTTAATGGTACATAGCAGCAACAACAACCAAAAAATGGACTATCAGAGATGTCATACCCAGCATCCCCAAAGTAAGATGTCTTTGTGACACCCATTCCTGTCAGGTGGAGTATAACTTCAATGTGCAAATTAAATGGAGCGGGGGGGGGGGAACCCTTGCATATATTAAGCCCCACAGGGATTAATATGTATGGTTTCAAACACCTGTTTCAAAAACAAACCAAAAAAAAAAGCAGCTAAAATGCTAATGTGTTTAAAAAAGAAGTGGTGGTGCTTTTCTGGAATAAGAACTTCACTTCTTATGTAATAATTCTAAATAACTTTTAAGAAACACATGTTTCGTATTTACCTTCCTAAGTCTGCAGAGATTTATTTGGATTCACCATGTTGAATATAACTAGAGCTATATTGTATTTGTATCTACAAATAAACATGGCCAGGTGTTCTGATGATTGGTATTACTACCAATTTTTAATCGTAAGGGAAGATTTGGATCACAGCTCTCAGGATAGATTCTTTTCTCATAAAGCCCTGATTAACTATCTCTGAGGACCCACTTGTCTGGCTTAAGACTTGGCATCTTTCATTTTTTTAATTAACTCTAAGGAGTCAGCTCATCAAATTGTGTTCTTAATTGTCCTCATAAGCATTTTAAAGACCTTTGAGGCCTTCTTCCTTTCATTATTTTTGCTTTTGAAAGATAGTCCTAGCTCAGAAATTCTACCTCCAAGAGACAAATAATAGATAAAAGCAAATGCTGTATGTCTCATAGAGTAGTTATACCTGTTTATCAGACCCATTAAATATGGCATTAAGGAAAAGCTTTAAAATACCAAATTTGAAAAACAAAATAATAGCTTTTGGATCTTCCCAGGTAGGATGAAAATAAAATCAATGTAAGACAATGACTAGAAAGAACTTATTCACGATATGAGTGTCCTAAATGAAGACTTTATTTGTTAATTTTCTACCATCGAGCCAAAGTTGGCTCATTGCTGACCTTCCAGCAGTTTCTCAGAGGCTGTAGGTCACAAAGGATGACATTGGGGGTCATTATCCTGCATAGCAGCTGGTGGATTTGTACCGCATGCTTTTGTGTTGGAAGCAAGATTCCCTATCACTGTTGTTAGGTGCTGTTGAATGGAGTGCAGCTCAAAGCAAGTCCGTGAACAAGTGAGCTGAACCCTACCCTGGCCTGAGCCATCCTCATCACCACTAGGCCACCAATATAGTATTACTGCTGTTGTTTACTAACAAGTCAGAATTGAACCACAGCTGAACCTCCAGCAGGATTTCAGAGGCAATACATTGCATGAGAGAAGACTGCCCATCCTTCTCCTTCAGAGCAGCTGGTGGATTCAAACCACATGCCTTTGGGATTGTACCACAACTTCTTACCAGTAGGTCACTAGAGCTCATAAAATAATACTAATGATTTTTTTAAATTTTCTACTAGTTTATTTACAAAATTTGAATAAATTGTATTAAAGAACAAATTCTTTCCATTTCCCTCACCTCCCCACCCATCATATTGTACAACCCATGATTAATCCTCCGCTTCCGCTGTACATCCTCATCCTTCTGCTCCCACCCTCTCCCACCCCTCTTGGATCCTTATATTCATTCTACAATAGTGGTTTTATATAATATCCTGTGGGAGGACTGAGTTCACTCGGCATAATGCTCTCCAGTCCCTGCCAAGTTAGGTAATAATTTACAAAATCATTGCTCCTGCGTGCTGCATCGTATTCCATTGTGTGAATGTACCATAATTTCTCATTCCGTTCATTTGTGGTTGGACATCTGGGCTGATTCCATGTTCTTGTGATGGTGAATAATGCTGCTGTGAACATTAGTGTACAAATCTCAGTTTGTGCTTCAGTCCTCATTTTCTCAGGGTATGCTTGGGAGGGTGGAGGGACGGCACAGGAAGGGAAGGCCCTCTATGAGGTGGATTGATTCAGTGGCTGGGATAATCGGGATGGGAGCATCAGAGACAGTGCGATTGGCACAGGACAAGAGCAGAGTTTAGGGCTGTTGTATATAGGGTCGCTATGAGTCGCAAGCGACTCGGCGGCACATAACAACAACAACAACATATTGCAAGTGGTAGAATAGTTGGGTCATGTGGAATTTCTATGTTCAGCTTTTTGAGGAGGCACCAAACTGTGTCATTTAATAGCAATTACTATTTTTTATCTTGAAAAATATACTTTTATATGTTTATACCTATTTACCTAATATGAGTATGAGCTCTGGTGGCCTAGGGAAGGAGTTATGCTGCCAACCCAAAGGCTTAGAACACAAATCTACCAGCTACTCTCTGGAAAAAGATAGACAGTGAACTCCCATGTGATTTACAGCTCCAAGAAACCTGCAAGAGGGTCAGTTCCAACTCGATGGCACATAGCAACAACAGCTTATGTACTTACACCCAAGACTGTATGTATGTTGAGACTTAAATATATCCTTTTTTCCCCCAAAGAACATATGTGTTAGATTTAAGTCTCTTATTGAAAGTAATTATTAAGTAGAATATACAGTAAAGATTTTAAAGTACATATCCTATCAGCTAAGGTACCACAAAAATGAAATGCTGAAAATTGCGGGAAAGAGGTGCAATTATGCTCATGCCGACATTCTCTCAGGTAACAAGATACAGATGAGTATAACCACTATATGAAGAGAAGGCTCCAAAGCAGCAGTCTGCAATATCTGCTAAATGTTTTAATTATGGCATGGGATGTAATATAAAGAATTAAGAGATACCATAAATGCTTCAGTAGATGGTGCTGGGGGTGCGCGTGGGGGTGTCTGTGTGTACACGCGAATTCTCAGGTATGTGTTTATGTGTTCTCCACCACAGTCAAACATCAGTTTCTGGGGTCATGGTCTGCATGTTAATTATCCCTTTCTCCAGCATATCTTGACTATATATGCTATCAGCTCTTTATTTGGTTGCTATCTCATTTATCAGATTAACTTTGTGTGATTGTCACAGTATTGGAAACCTCATTTTACATAAAAGTTATTGCTTATCAACCTTTACTATGCCAAACTTGTTAACTATATTTTATTCTAGGCATGTGTGCACAGGAAAAGAAACAGTCTGTATGGGACTTGATAGTGATTATGCTTTTAGGCATCCTCTAGGAGTCTTGGAGCATATTTCCTGTGGATAAGGAAGGATAATTCTAGTTAAATTTTCAATAACTTTATCTGTTGTTGTTGTTGTTATGTGCCATCGAGTCGCTTGCGACTCATAGCGACCCTATGTACAACAGCCCTAAACTCCGCTCT